GCCATCCTCTACCAGCCGCAGCTTCCCAGGGTCACACACGGGGGTGCTCGGGGGCTCAGGCGACTGTGGGGGCTGCCTGAGAGTGACAGACAGCAGGCACTCAACTGGCACCAAGCACGGACCCTGTTTTGGCACAGGGCAGCGCTCCCAAAGGCACCCTCACACACACCGAGCCCCTTGCCAGACCCCAGCACTCACCAAGGCTTCCCTGTGCCCCAGACGGACCCTTGGGCATCCCTGTGGCATCAGAAAAAACGGTGGCACAATAGTCAATGTTTGATCCATGGCTCAGTGCATCCCTCCCATACACACTCCCAGCCCCACAGAGAAGCCGGCAACACTCACTCAGCTCTGTCTGGCTGCCCCACATTCCCTTGTATGGCTCATGGGACGTCATGCTCCAGGTCCAGGTACTACCAAGCACCTCCCAACACCCCCAGCAAGGTGTTGCCAGTGCCACCAGCCTCCTCTAGATTCCACTTTCTCAAGAAGTGATGGTGCAGTTTGGCTCTCCAGCTCAGTGCCAGCAGTGCCCAGCGGGTCCTGTCCAGCACACTCCAGTTGAGGACAGCCTGCCTGGCAGGCGGGTGTCTGGGCAGGACCCTCCCGAGGTGATGGTCAGAGCAGTGGCTGAGCGCTGGCAGTGCTCGTCGCATGGCAAGCGCAGGGCAGGCTCTGCGGCTCTGCCAACAGCTCAGCTCTGAGGAGAGCGAGAGGACGGAGAGGGAACGTGAGGACAGAGGAGGAGACAGGAGGAAAAGAAGTCCGAGCAACAGCACAAAGAGCTTTCCCGGAGTCTCCGCGAGCAGTGAGTGCGAGGGCGAACCAGCCTGGTGGGCTGAGCTCCGGGACACACAGCCCCATGGCTCCTGCTGCTGCCCTGGCACACGCTCCCCTTACCTGGGCTTTTTAACAAGCTCATCCTCATGATCCTCCACTGAGTGCAGCAGGTGAGAATGGAGAAGACAGAGTCAGTCTGTGGCAACCAAGGCCCAGGGACAACGGGAAGGGGAGGGAAATGAAGGAAAACGGACCTCTTCTCCCACTGCCCTCTTGCCCTCTTGCCTGCCTAGCCATAGGGCAGAGCATGGCCCCAGTCCCGTGGCACCACCATGTTCCCGCGCACAGCCCCTGGCACCTCCTGACAGCTCAGTCTCCCCAGAGCAGCCACGCAGGGCCAAAACCAAAGTTCCAGTGCCACGACACACCCCAGCTTTTATCTGGCTCTAGTTGCTCCGGCAAAGCCAGGCATCCCCAGGCACCCAGCGCCGGGTCCGGTGGGAACTTACTGCTGTCTGTGCCCGTCAGCCGTGCCAGTTTCTGGAAGGAGCGGGACTGGGAAGTCCCGGTGCGGGGCTGCCAGTCCTCAGCATCCTCTATCAGCCGCAACTTCACAGGGTCATACACGGGGGTGCTGGGGGGCTCCAGTGGCTGCGGGGGCTGCCTGAGAGTGACAGCAGCGTCTGCCAAATCTGACAGATCCCTGCAGCATCACCTCCCTGGGGCTGCCCCACATCTCCTCCAGCACAGAATCACAGCACACCAGCACATGAGACACCACACATTGCCTTCCTCCCCACAACCCTTACTCCTCCTCCACATAGGAAGGAAGGGCCCATTAAGGACTGACTCAGGACTGACCATCCATCCCCGGCAGTTTGAGACTTGTCCCAAGGGCCAGGAGGGGAAAGGACAGGGCAAGAGTAAGCCATGGTCAAAAATCACCATCAGAGGAGCTGCACGAGAGCCCAGCAAACACCGGCAGTGCTGATGGCAGTGTCGCCCACCTGCCTGGCCCTGGACAGGGCGCCTGGCACAGCCTGGCAGGCCTTGCCCAGCCAAGCCACATCTCAGGGAGGAGGGAAGGGATCACTCGCAAGGACATTCCAGGGCCTCAGCAGCCGGCAGAGACAGGCAGCTCTCGCCCTTCAGGCTCAGGACAGCTCACTGCCAGGAGCAACCCTCCCATGTGGGCAGAGCAGCGCGCACTGCCTGTCCTTGGGCCAGCCCTGCCCCAGAGAACAGAGCACTAGCAGGGAAGAGGCATGCAGGGAGGCTAGAGAGAACAGGCAAAAGGCTTACTGACTTGTCAAGGCTCAGCACCTGTAGGAGAGAGGG